ACCTTATCCGGAAACCCCACCATTGATAGGTTTCGGTTTACTAATTTTTTTTGGCCAACCGAGGCTCCCTAACGTATTTTTTCGTAGAGATATGTGTAAAATCGGCTGAAATTGGCCTAAATCAACCGAAAACGGGTAGGCTGAGGCAAACCACCGCCAAGGGTGGCGACAGCGTTGTACCGAAGTCCCAAACTTGGCCATAAGGGATTTTTAGGGTATTTTTTAGGTACGTAGAGCGTGTTTAATCTCCATAAAAAAAATTTAAGAAATTCAGGGACCGCCAGGAAGCGCGGTAGAAACTATGATGTTTCAGACACCGATTCGAGTAAGAATCTCTCACCCTATTCCCCGTTATGGAATTGAAGCCTAAAAATTAATAATATGGTATTCTGTGAAATTCAGAAAATGTTGGGAATAATTAAGGTCACTAATTGAGCCGAAACCAGTTAGTTATTTATTTGTCATGTTTAACTGATTATTTGTTTGAACAGCTTTAAATACATGATAATATATTGAAATAGTTAAATGATTCAGTTGTGTTTCTTTGATACATATATCGCTTGTTTTACGTTATTTACGGTTGATTGTGAAACGTGAAATTTATATATAAATGAGAAATTGCTTGATGATGTGAATTAATAAATGGTTGTCTTACTGGATATCTTGAAAGATGGTGGACGGACCGGGTACATAAGGAACTATACTGTGAATGTCACCTCATACCGGACGGAGTATCGAGAGATGGTATTTTTGGCACTCATACCGGATAGGGTATGGGGACAACCTAGTTCATCCTCATACTAAACGGAGTATCGATAGATGACATTTTTTGTGCTCATATTGGACGGGTATAGGGATGGCCGAATAATTGACAAGTTTAGATATTGGGTTCACACGTATGGGAACATCCCTATAGACCCCCAGAGGTACCAGTAAGTAGATAAAAAAGGAAAGTTATTATTCTTACTCATTTGTATAAGAAATCATAATGTTATTTAAGTTATTGTCTTTATAGGTTGATTTTGAAAGTCTCATAACGGTAAATATGCAATAAATAGTTTTTCTTGTGATAAATAAATTTACTTAAATTAAGAGCTCCATTAGTCATTTTTATATTTTTTTTTACCAAATTTCAATTTCTATATCAGTTGGCAGTGTGATATTCTTATTGGGGTAGTGTAGCTCACCCCTATTAACCATTTCATATCAGGAAGATCAAGACCCAGATCCTAATCAATAGGGGGGCTGTGAGTAGGTGTCTTCCGGATCCCATCAAAAAGCTAGTGGAGGTTAACCTCCCTACAATATTTATTTACTATTTTTATATGCTTATTTTATTTTTTATATGAACCGCTATAAAATGAATATTTCCGTAGTCCTAGTTGGCATTCAAATTTACATGTAAGAAATGTAAACCCTAACATTATTATACGTTTTTTCATTACATTTATGAATTTATATCCCTACTAATTTTGGGTTATTACAGTTCGTATTAGAGCCGCATTCTTCGAAATAATTTCTTACACAATGACTTAAAAATACCAAAATACAAAATTATCACTTAACATTTCCTTGTGAAATGCAAGTACAAGAAATGAGGAGAAGAAGACCTCCACTAAACTGAGCAGCCCGGGATGGCTCATTTTGAGAGAATGTCGACCGACTCTTTGAGATGCTAGAGAGACTCATCTCTACCCAGCAGGCCCGAGAGGAAACGAGGGAGCTGTTTGACCCTTCCTCATGCCACAATTTGAGCCACTCTTGCAGGGAAAAGATCCAGAGCCATC